TCTAGAACAAGAACTTTACAAACTTGTTTTTTTCAAAAGCAGTACAGTAAGGTCTCAGCCTTTTTTTTACAGCTGACATATGTGTATATTATTTTGTAACAAAGAAATCTGTCAGCTGTGTTGGACTGTTTATTACTTTGACAAGTTGATTTTGACTTTTTCTGGATGATTTGTCAAGATTAGCTTTTATTTACAGGGCTTTATGTTCTAAGATGAGGTGAAAGTAAGAACAGCAAATATATCTTTTTCCCTGACATCTCCAATAATTTTACCTGGTCAAATGTTTGGATACATGGAGCTGCAGTAAAAATGCATGATTAGTACACTCCCTTGTGGATTATGAACAGAAAGCATGTGCTGGGCTTGCACACAGCCTGTGATTTACTCACAGTCGCATACAAAGGTATTCGTTCTTTCACTCCAGTGTCTTTAGTGTCCTTTTCTCATTAAAGAAGACAGACACCAATAGATAATGAAACAAGTCTGTTCTGCAAAATACAGATCTGGCTTTTAAAGCAAACAAACTGACCTAAGCACTTAGAAGACAACTTTCAGAAGTGTTCTTGTACAAGGAAAATATGCTGTGATTACAAAGTTATGTATGTAACCCTCATTACAAAAAGTTTCACGGTGATGGATTTCGTATCGGATAAGTATTAGCAGAAATAGTTCTGTAATATATTTTAAGGGAAATGAATTTAAAGTTCCAAGCATGGCGTAAAATGATAATTCAGTGTGTTACAACCAACATAAACTGGATTTTAACAAATGAACAGAAATTTCATGCTTCTTAAAAGAAGACAGAGTAAATTCAGAGCTAACAATTGAAGCACCTATAGGGCAGCTGATCAATCCAACCCACCCAGTAAGAGTGAAAATAACAGGGTTTTATCATGATTTTTACTATTTTAAAACATAAATGCCAGCAGCAACTTTTGCATCAGATTCCTGTTCATCATAAAGTTACTGGATTTACTTAATACATGGCCACAGCAGTAAGACATTATCTCAAACAAATGCAGCTCAGCCTCACGTGCTTGTTTTAATGATTTTTTATCAAATTCCTGAGTTTACTTCAGTCTGATGAGCTTTCCGGTTTGGTGCAGTGCTGAGAAGTGTTTTGGGAGCACTGTGTGCACAGCAAGACGTGAACTGCAGCCTCAGTAGATGGCACCCTTCTCTCTGACTGCAATATCTTCAGACTATGAGAAGCACAACAGAACCACACAGCCGAGGCTATTCAGCAAGTCCCAAAACAGCCCCTGAGGTTCAGCCTGTCCCACAAGCAATGTGCAAGCAATGTGAGAAACCCTTTCCATGTCCATGAAGACCAGTGGAAATCCACTGACAGAAATGTATCCCCAGGGAGAAGGACTCGCTAGCAGTCTCTGGGGCCACCAATAATGGCTACACAGCATGAAGCATGTGGCTTAGCATAATATGCATGCATATACATACGTATATGAGATATAAATTCATCTAATAACTGATATATATCGGGATTCAGGCCTTACCAAGTCGTACTACTATACATTTTAAACACTATTCAGCGTTGTGAGTATAAGGAGACAGCAGTACATCATCTTGCTTGCAGCCCCAATTTGCTGGTTACAAGAACTAGCTAGCAACCTTTGAAAAAGGGCTGAATTATTAAGATAATGTCAGGGCTTACTGGTGATTAAAGGAAGTCTTCTACTAATCACTAACTTAATGAAGATTCGAAATTAGATTTTCTTTACACAAAAATCTTTTTAGAAATTGAATAGGTGTGAGATTTATAATATTTTTTTTCCTGCTGATTTTGCATGGCAGGCACAGTTCTGTAGGGTTTTTTTATTCTGAGACTGTATTGAACTAATGCCTTCCTGAAGGAGGTGTATGAAATAATCAATAGTTTGTGATCATCTGGTTTTAGTAAGAAGTGCCACGACAGGTTACATGTAAGTTGAGCACATTTTCAAAATACAGAAGGGGCACTTTTGTGGCAGTATTTTCTACAGTCATGAAATACTCGAGTGCTCTGTGTTCTGGTTTCTTTCTTTGATCTGCTCTGCCTGGGTCAGAAAAGCTTCACCTGGAGCAGATCAAAGAAAGTCTGAGCAATGCTTCTTCTTCCCTGACCTATCTTTCCTACACTTCCCTCTTCTCTATGGTGCTTGAAATCACAAAAAGAAGGGAAGTGAGGGCATCCCTCCCCCACAGATTGCATCTCCTCCAATCCCCAGCGTAGATTTCTTCATCTTCATCAGAGCAGCTTGCCTAAGCACAAGACTTAAAAATTTCACAGTGTTTTAATGAAAGTGACCATGAAATCTGGTCTTTAATGTTTATATCCTTTTATTTATGTATTTATTTTTTGTATAAACTTTTCCAATGAACGATAAAGACACTCTAAACGGCTAAACAAATTCCTTCCTAAAAAATACATTGCTAAAAACAACAATTCTGGAATATCTTTGTACTTGCTATTTGAACTGATAATTAAAAGAGAGCTTCATTTGGTTGAAAAAAAAGATATTCAATACCACTCTGGTGCTTCTGATCTATGAAAATATTAGAACATTTTGTAATTTACTTTGAAATGTTTTTGCTGCAGTTATCTGATAGCTTGAGTGTGGATGATGGATACTGGGTATGTCCTGCTGACATTTTGCCAGCTTCAGGGGTGCATCAGCCTGACACAGCTGTGTCTGCTGGGCCAGTAATGAAGCAGTTAACCATGTGAGGGTGGAACTGCATATAGGGGCGGGAGCTGTGGAAAGGTTTGTCACAGTTTTAGTGAGGGAAATGATAAGGAATGGACCTTACTTTAGCTTGGCTGGTGGGGAAGGCAGGCTTTCTCTACATCAGTAAGTGGCTGCATTTCTAGATGTTATTTGAAAGCATCTGGCAATACTAATGTGCAAAGAATTTACAAGCAATGGTTAAGATGCACAAATCATAGGGAAAAGTGATTAAAAGTTACTTTTGTATTACTTGTATCCAACATTTCAAGCTTCAGATTATGTATACATTTTAAGAATTTCTCAGGAGTTACTAATTGAAGACAATGGACCAATATTTCCTCCTATTTGTGCCAGTGTAAAACTTGGGCAACTCCATTGTAACCAACGCCTGAATTTGGTACATCCCATCACTGGAGACATTCAGTCTGAATGGATATTTTGAGAGTAAGCATTATTAACTTTGCATATCTGAGACAACAACTAGGAACAAAGGAATTGCAAGTGTAGGAATGAAATTGCATGCTCCAAAGTGATGTAAAAGCCTTTCCCTGATGTATCAATTTTAAAATATTTCAGACATCTCTTGCCTAGGAGCTGCAGACACATTTACAAGTCAGGAAACCAGGCAATGGAACTTGGACTGCTACTGTCAATTTTGCAAAACTGAAAGTTCAGCCTCCCCTTTTTCTGAACAATTTATTCTGGCTTCCTTACATCTGCAAGAGATAGAGGAGGTAGAGATGTTCCATGCCTGATCTGAAATATGTTCAGAAGAAAATTTTGTACTGAAATTTGCCTAAAATTTAATTGAAAAATAGTGGAATCTGCATCTATTAGGGAACTCAGGCTGACTTCTACAGTAGAAATCCCTGGATCTTGCTAGTTCAATAGGAATGTTTTTCCACAAGATGAGATTTGATCCTTTTTACTAAGAGTAATTCCAAAGGACGTAAACTGACACATTTCTTAGAATGCATTTAATAAACAATATTTTGACAACCATGGAAAACATATCACTGATGTGAAACTTCATTTCCACTTAAGAAGTAGTATTTATACCAATGTATGAATTAATTATTTAGATTCTGAGTGAAAACCTAGCAAGAGAGGCTGTGAAAAAGAATATCTTACAGTGATCAATCAAAAATATTTCTACAGCAATCACTGCTACAAATCTTCTTCACTTTTTTTCTATCAAGAAATGTGAAGTTTTTTACTCCATCTGTTTCTTACAGTTAAACAATAATTTCAGCTGTTCTATTGACACCATTTAAAGACCCCAGAAAGATCTCACTTGTCCCCACTGTTAAGATCTTTTACCTAAGTTTGATAAAGAACACATTGCATTTGTCTGAAATTGTATATGCAATTGCATATGCAAGCCTAATAGTAACATATACTCTTTACTTACGTGCATTTCATTAAAATGCATATATACACATTTGGACATTTGGAAAATGTGGGATAACATGGTTTTACTGTCAGTTCTACTTCAGAACTATGAAACTGCAAATTTCCATTGAAGAAACCCTGTGCTTACTGCAGAAAACAGCAAGCACGTAAAAATTTGCATGCTTATATGCAGCATTGCTGAGAGTAAGAATCAGATCCACAATTCCCTGCCAGGCAGTACTCTCTCATCCTGATACACATCTGTGAACAGAGCAAGCTCCTTCTTGCTCTGGTTTAGTCAGTTTTGCAATTCCAGGTCTCCAGCAGCCCAAACTCACCTGGAAATTATAGGGTTCATCACCACGTTTTGAACCTTCTCAGGGCTGAGGTGCACAGCAATGCCTCTCACTAAATCACTGCCTCTCAGTAAATGCTCTAGCTGCAGGTAACAAAATATTCTGGGCAACATTTTTGACCCTCCTTCCAGAGTAACCTGTGGTTCTGTTTTCGAAACTTAAGTGGCTGTCAAATGAAGCAGTTAAAATGTCACTGCAGTGTTTTTGTTTGTTGCAGTAATTGGTATAGTTCCATGGTAGCTCAACAGTTCAGATCTCTAGATTCAAGTTATTCAGATTTTGCAAAGCCTGACCTGCTTTGGAGTTTCCCTTTGGACTTTGGTTTTTGTCCACTGGCTGGCAGCAAGAGGCAAGCAGGAGCTTGTACCATTTTCAGTCCCCAAGAGCGCATGGGCTACCTTTGATTCCTGATGTGGGTCTACTGCTGCCATTGTGTATTTTACGATAAACTGTTTACATAGCAGCCTTTTGTTACAGGTTTTAAATCTTCTCAGGCTGCCAGTTTGAGGCTGAGGCTGCCAGCTGGCAGACAGAGAGGTGCTTGTGCTCCAACTGTTGGAGGTAATTAACAGCCCGAACTGTCAGAAGGTGACAGCCGGCAGAAAGTTCCTGCCCTGGGGTCACAGCTGGATTCCGGCAACTTGCTCCTTGATTTACCAGTAAAACTAATAATGTAAGTAATATCGGTATTAAATTATAAAACAAGGGGGTCTGAGCCCGAGTTAGATTTTCTACCTCCAAATGAACTGGCAAAGAAAATTATCATTAATATAAAATTTGAAGCAAATAAGAAAGATTAAGTCACTTTCTTTGGGAAAAAAAAATAACGGCCCACTAAAAATTGGGGGGACATAAATATTAGGACGATTGCAGACCATAATACTGTTCAGTTGACATTTACCTGAAATTTTAGAAAATTAAACTAAAATCTAGTATTAGTAATCTGGGCAATGATTATTGGCCACAAACTTTTAATTTAAGTACTATACTCAAAATGTCACATTAGATTTAAATTTGCAGCAAATAACTGGCTATGAATGGAAATGTAGAAAATGTTAATTTTGCTGAAATAAATACTTATTTCTTTTAAAAAATATATTGTTAATTTATCAGACATCGAGGCATGTGTTTAACTTCAATGTTAAGCAAGAGCATAAATACAATGGAGTCAACAAGTCATAAAGTGTTCCTTTTTTTTCTTTTTTTTTTTTTAACTGGAAAACAAAATATTAGTTATTGCTTCTTTCAATCCACGACAGAAAAAATACATACATACATGGACAGTCAAATGTTAAGATGCAAACAATGTTAGCATTTGTATGTCTCTGTCTTCTGAAATGTAAGTATCTGATACTTTAATACATGGGGAATGATACCTCCAATGCTTGGGATTAGAAATACTCTTTCTGTCTTGAGTTTCATCTCATAATATTAAACAGTGTAACTTTGATGCTCTGGTTACTCAGAATAGATAGATGTTCTGCTCTATATGTGTCCATAAATGAAATCATGACTCCGGACCTACAGGACTCTTCAGCAGAAGTAATTTGAAGAGTTCAGAAGTTTTGCTTTACATAATTTCTGACATTTTTCTCAAGGACCAAATACCACAGAAATTACAATATGATAACATGTTTTCCTAAATTTCTTCACTTAATCAGCTCTGATATGATGTGTCAGTGTTTTTCAGTTTTGAAGAACAGAGATGACAGAGCTCAAGAATGTCATAGACATTCATTGCATTTTAAACAAGCTTTAAAAAGGTCTTAAGAAAATAAGACAAAACTAATCCGTATTTTAAAAATGAGAGTTTTGAGAGTGATAAGATTTTTTTTTCCAGTGGGTGGAAGGAGAACAATGATATTCTTAACTAAGTTTATTGGCCAAAAAGCTATTCTTTTTGTAGTAAACATTTCCTCACATTTTGTCTAGCCTGGTATGGTGAAAGAACTTTTCATACTAGTGGGTCTTTTATCTTTATGATATTCTACAGCTATCTTCATCTGCCATGAGGTGGTGTAAATTGGCTTCAGGCAACTATCATGATTGATGTTTGCTGAACATTTGGCCAAGATGTTAATTTGTATTGAACTGTCAGTTACAGGAAATTAAAATTCTTGATCTCTATTTTGGATCTTACAGTGGTTTATCCTGTGTTCCCAGGAAGCTTTAAGATATCGTTCTATATCCTTGAATGATAGCCAGCAAAGCAGCACAGTGATATTTTCTTACAGTACCTTCACACACACACTTGACAACCAAGTTCCAATTGTGCTGTCCCTTTTGACCTAAACATTGATGTGTGAATAATGATGGATTAGGCTCTTCCTGTTTATGAAGTGCTTTGAAATGCAAGAAAAGTACAACTGAAAATAAAATTTCCTGAAATAATAAGCTTTTAAGTAGTAACTCTTTATCAAAAATATGTATACATTTCAGAAACCACCAGAAATGCTAACACACAGTGCATCAAGGAAATAGACAAAAAGAGAAGTTAAAGTATGGATTTACCTGGCTATTAAATATCTGTTTCTGTTGCTCTGGCATCTTGTGTCTTTCACCATACAGATGGGAAGATACATCAACTCCCTCTTGGTTCAGGAGGTCTCTTTCCAGCCCGAAGTCAGGCCTTCATTAGAGTTAGCAGCCCTGAAACTGGCTGGTTCAGGGTACACACAGAAATCTTCTGGATGTGTCCTGGAGTTTAAGCAGATTCATATGTTCCATGAAAAACTATTGATTCTGAACACTCCAGTTTCTCCAAGGAGTGCTCTATACTTTTCTTTCTAACTTTTGGAAGGCAGGGGGACAAGGAAGGATTTTGCATTACACTGTTTCAGAAAGCGTGTTTTGCTGTGGATCAGCCCTCAATTCTTAGTCTCATTGAAAGATCACTCTTGAAAGTTTTACTAGCATTTATAACCATGTTGTGTTTCAATATAATGTTTTTAAAGACCTGATTCCACACCCTTTTAACTTAATGGGAGATTTCTCACTGACAGCAACGGGAATGGGACATATCCCTAAGGGAATATAAACCAACCAAAAAAAAAATTCTATTTAGGTAATGTTAGCTTATAAATAAGTTCTCAGCCAATGTAGTCATCCATTTTACAAAACTTTGAAAAAAACTTTTGGTCAATTTTACTTCCCTGCACTGTAACACAGCCTGTGCAGTACAGTTCAAGGAGAATAATTATGAGAAAAATGAAAGAAAGGTGAATGATTTGAAAATTAAAAATCTTAAAAAATAAAAAGTAAAAAAACTCTGCTGAAATTATAGATGGAATGCCTGAATTGAATGCAACTTTCATTCAGCCGAGGAGCAAACTTCATACTGTGAACGTATTCTTCAGTCCACAAAGAAGTCTTAACAAAGAAATGTGGAGTGAAGAAACCTGCTATAGAATTAAGATTAATGCAGTCCAAGAAACCAATCAATGGAAAAATGTAAAAGACTAAATAAAATAATAGGCAGGATAGTCAAATTGAATCACTTTATTCAACATAAAAACTGCTACAGAGCTGTAAAAAGAAAAAATAAAAAAGAAATCTGTTTAAAAAATAATTTGAATACTGAATTTAATCTTCCAATGTCTTCTGTTCTCTACAGGCTCCCTTTATTTGTTTCCAAACATCAATTTCTAAGATATACTAGTTCAAATTTTTGTTTTTCAAAAATATTCTGTTTGAATATCTCCCTGGCTGGAATCCATAGTCTCTGAAAATAAAAATGTTAGCAGTTCATTCTGTCACTAATTTAATGTTTCTTGTTTACTATCATCATTCACTTCCATTCCTCTTTTGCACCCCATTCTCATTCACCGTTTGCTGAAGCAAAGTCACACATATCTGTGGGCAGCAGGTGTTGCATGATATAAACTAAGCCTGCAGAATATCAGATCCTTGATATGACTTAATAATACTGCATGCTGCAGCCATAATTCTACTTTTTTCAGAGCTGCCCTGGAGCTGGCACAGCTGTCTGCAGAACTTGCATTCACATTTGAGACTTTTCCAGTGCTTCTGAGCAGGTTGATCTCCTTGTAGCAGCTAGATTTTCTAAGAAGCCTCCAGAAAATAAACAAAAAAAAACAAAAAAACAAAAGGCATTGTCACATGAGAGTCTAAAGTGGAAAAAGCTTTTCATAAACCAATATAACTTTTAAACGTACAGGATGATATGATTGATACCTAAAGCTATATGAAGAATGGAGAAGCACAGTGCAGATTTATGGTCATGGGAAAAGTTTCTGAAAGAAGAGGCAGAAAAAGTACACAGGAGGAGTTACTCTTATTTTTGACAAAGAGGGAAAAAACAGCTGAGAATGTGAAGATGTAAAGGAATTTTTGCAGCTTAAGAAAGTAAACACTCGCTGTTTTAGTTCTGAGCTTTGTCTGTGAAGTTGTTTGGCTCTACTCTGAGGCTCAGCAATGACCTGACATATATTTGTTTTAGCATATACATAAAAAATAACAATATGTATGATTAAAAATTAGAAAGATGAAGACATGAGACAGTATCAGGCCCATGTAGTGATCAAATAGATCATAAGAAATTATTCTCTAAATCTACATTATTAGTAGAGGACAACTCAACAATAATAAAGTCTGGTAGTCAAAAGGGTTGAAAAGTGAAGTAAATTGTTCAGTTCTCATGAAAGGTAGTTACCTGAGATTGCATAGATTCTATGATTAGCATTAACAATAGGGTAAAAACTCAACTGCCCTGAGTTAAAAAGGACCTCACATAGGCTGTGCCTGAATGAAATCCAGTAGATATTTAGGGAAGTGGCAAAGTAATCCTAGAATTATTACAAATTAGAGAATCTGTGGACATCACAGTTCCGGAGCTCTGAAAAAATACAAATGTTGTGCTTACTCTCAGAAGAGAGAGAAATAAGGAATCCTAGAAGAGCTGGTCTGACTTCAAAACACTGAGAAATAAACAAGGCATCTATTTCCAAGCACTTAAAAGATTAACCAGTGATAAGTAATGGCCAAAAATAATGTAACTAGAATAAATATATCAAGCAAGCTAATTCTTTTGTATGACAGGAAGCAAGTCTCAGAAGTAGAGAAAGAGTAGTATATGTGCTGTGTATTTTTTCCGTTAAAACAATCAATACTACTTTGCATACATGAGAACCTGATTGGAAGAAAAATAAAGAAAAATAACTCTTTTGTCCAACAATAGTGCAAAGAGAGTGAGGAAGAGATTGGAAAACAGTGTGCTGAAATACTAGGGTATCCACTGGGATTCTATGAACATGATACTACTTGACTCTAGCACTATGTAGTTATTTCATTAATGACTTAAGTGATACAGAATTTTTATTTAATTCTTATGTGATATGAAGCTGGGAGGAATGCAAGCATTTTGAAGGACATGACTAGAATTCAAAATAGGAATGATAAATGGAAGAAATAGACTATAATAAATAGAATGCAATTCTAGTTAGTGAATCAGATTCTCAAATACAGGATGAGAAATGACTTGCTTAGACAGTAGGTCTATAGAAAGGGATCTGGATGTAGGGATCAAGTGTCAAAACAGTGCCACAATTTTAATAAAGCAATTATAATAATGTAAAGTATAGCTATGAGAGTTATGCGTTGAACACATGATTTTGCAATTGCTCTAGCAAGGACAAGGTCTAGCATGAAAAAAAC